CTGGCGAGATTTAGAAGGGCCAGATATAGAAGTGAATTTATTAATGCAATATCATTAGCCATCAGTCTTCCAAAACTCTTGTCAGTATATTAACACCAGTTCCCCATTGTCCAGTTTTTCCTTGCCATAATGAAGAACCTCAATTTCAAGGTCATCTGTCAGTGGGATTAGTCAGTTAGTATAGCTAGAGCTCCTGAGATACTCCAAAAAGAATAGTCATTTATGCTGCTCTCTGTCCTGTACTGTGCCCACGAGCTCGTGTTAAAACAAGGTCCAGTCACGTGGCAGAAATACACGATCTGATATTGCCGTTGCTGCTTCACGATTTAGGCTGCTGCTGCCAGGGCATTAAATGTTCCCTAAGTGGTAGCTGTCTTCCACTAATGCAGATGCATTTCTTTTACAAGTTAGTTTATTGCTCTTCTTCTTAGTCCATGCTGGCTGTTCTTCTGTTTCCCAGCACCCCTGATTAGCAGCGGTACTTATTTACTGTTATGGCTACAAACAAGTAGAATTAGAGCAAGCAGATATTGTGTTTAGATGGAATCATGAAGACAAAACAGATATTTTGACAACACAAGAAACACTGACCTCTGATCTTTATCAGAAAAGGGGAATTGACAGTTAGGTACTCACCTGGTTTCTCTTTTGCATCTTCAGGGCACTTCTAGTTAGCAAGACCTACCCTGGTTTATGCATGTGGGGACTTCCATGTTACACCAGACCTTCTTCCTCCCAGCTGGAGCCCAGCTTCATGGCAGCCACTGCAGGTCTCGCTGTCCCAGGCAGGTGCCTGCTCAGTTCTCCCCACTCAGCCAGGTTTCTCCTCACCCTGCCCTTGCTGCAGGTCTGCTTAATCTACCCTTTTGTGTTTAGTTTGAGAGCACTGTGTCCATTGGCTACTCTGATCCCTGAGTCCTTGCACAGACCAAACTGCCATGGACTGTCCCTGGGACACCATACCGCAGACGTCACAAGTTCTGCATTTAGTCCTGGTACCTGCTCTTACTTTCCTTGAATTCTAGGACTAGAAAACTCCTGAATCAGGCAGGCAGCATCCTAATTAACTCTTCCACTTTGCTGGGAAACTATTGCACGGAACATTAATGCTGGACTACAGGATAGGCAGGCTACGCTTTACAGAAGAAACTCACCAGGCCATTTTACTTATTCTCCCATCCTTCATCGTACAATTCTTCTCCCTGTTCTATAGCTTAGCAAAGCCATAGGAAAACACATGACATGACAGTGGATAGGACCTATGGAGGCATAAAGTCTAGCTGCCTGATCCAGGAAATTCACCTCGAACTGTACCATCCTCTCACCACGGGCTGCCTTTGATGCCTGGTTTCAGTCTCTTCCTTTTTTCGCCAGCAATGGTGGCTGGGCTCATCCTAAAAGCAGACCATCCGGCCATGAAAGAAACTCAAAATCTCACAGCAGCCCTCTTGCTGCATCCACCAGGTGGATGGTAGCCTGCCCTATAGGACTATTCCCTCCAGGCTCCTAATAGTTAAAAACCAGCCTCAAGCACCTTTTCCAAATTGTTTTTGATGCATATTATTGTGACTTGAGATACTCATTCTGTTCAAACAATAGCACGATCCACTTTTACTCTAAACACTAGGCTGACATCCTGTGATGCAATGAGTTTCACACCCTTACTACTTGTTGCATGAGAAAAATACTTTGTCAGAAGCTGACTCAGAGAGGCATTGTGTTAAAAAGAAGTTTTCAGAAAAGAGACGGGGCATGGAGGGAAAGGGGTTCATAGTGCCTTGAAATTAGCTCCAGGTTAGAGAAAGGTAACAAAGTTTGCTAATTAACCTCCTAAAGCAGCACACTGGCATGTAGGTTGTAGCCATTCTACATTAAGAGTCCTCCTAAAAGGCCTTCAAAGAAAGGTCTTGGTGAGTTCATATCATCACTGTTCTGCGAAAGGCTTTTACCTTATAGCCACACGCATCTAAAGGGAACAGGGACTTGAGTTGCTTACATCTGACCCCTGGAGTGGCTGCTGTGATGTCATCAGTGTTATAATTTTACACGAGATTAGGCGTGTAATTGCGTGTTAAATAGTGACGGTTAGCTTAGATTGCCCGGCTAATGAAGCAGGCAGCATTAATGATATCACATATGGACTGCTCCAAGGCACTGGTGCTATAAGACAGTCTTAACCCTAACTTTAGGGGGAATAAAGACACCCTTTTCCTCCTCTTTTGTCCCCTCGCTGGGGCAGACACCTCTCCAGCTCAGGTCCCATCCCTCTAGAGCTTCAGTGATTTGCTCTGGTGCTGGTGACTCTGCCTCCCTGCCCAGGCAGCCCTGCAAACTCAAACAGATGGCAGAAGCCACTGATCACTCTAATGTGTGCTCTAGTTTTGCTTAATTAAGAGTAGATTCTCTGATAAAGTTCACCCAAGTCTCCCACAGGCTCTGGGACTCATTCAGGCTGTGTCAGCACAGCCACCAGGCTTTAACTCACACTTAATATCTTAAAGGGAGTGGTGGCAAATATGTCTTTTTATTTTTCCGTAGTAAGAAAGCCTTAGCCTGAGAGAGGCCTCACTCCAACATGGTCTCCAGGCCCTTGGATGGTTGCTCTGGGCCCTCCTGCATCGCTTGCTGCAGAAACATCAGCTCACTCAGTGCTGCCTTAGGGGCCTCTGCTACAGTCCTGTCAGGTGCAGAGTGGTCACAATCTTACCTACCAGAGTGAGGATTAGTCCAAAGGTCCTGTGACCCAAATTCCTGGCACTGATCACTACAAAAACACTTCTTAGTAGGTAGCTATATTGATCAGATCCTAGTAACAGCTCTTTCACCTTCTAAACTATAGCTGTTTCTGGGAAGAAAAGCCTCTTTCTACTGTTTATTCCCCAATACTCAGGCACAGTGTTTGTAAGGCAGGAAAAGCCTCCTCCATGCTACTGGGAGCTGCAGTGATGACCATCAAGTGGGGAAGAAGGACAGGGGAGGTTCCCCACCTTCTGCCTGCCTTCTTTTGGGCAGCTTCAAAAAGAGCTCCCTCCTCTAGTTTGTTGCCCATGAATGCAACTCAAATGCTTTGCCAGACATTGTTATCGGTTACTTCAAGTAAGGCCTGTGAGCCCCAGTCCCAGTTTGGCTGGGCAGGTGCCCGGTGCACCGAGCACCAAACGGGCACATCCCCGCCATGTGCGGTAGCGCTGTGTATATCACATAACACCTGTAGCCTCCACAGGGAAGAGGTTGGTGTTGGCATCCAGAGAGAAGTGCAGATCATAGCCGCTGTCCTGCAAAGCAAGATGCAAGGGCTTGGGGAGCAGGTTCGGGCAGGGACTAAGATACGTAACCCACTGCGGGGCTCTGAGCTGATTCAAGAGGGAGAGCCCAGTCCCTTGGTGCCCATCAGCCTGTCTGTGGATGAGTTTTGGCTCCAATACATGTCAGTTTTTCCCTGCAGCCACCTCAACTGGATTTATTCTCCTAGGTTCACCACTACACAAATACCGGATAATTTTGCATGTTTATGTAGATAGTGATTTTACAGACTTTCAGGCGAAGAGCACTGAGGACTTCATATCATCTCCTTCACTGCTGACAGCATCAACAGCCAGGTTTATTTCTCCATCAGCTAAGGAACGGCCCCAATGTATGAAAAACTTCCACATTAAAGCATTTAGTATCTGAAATATTTCATTTTTATTCTTAAGTCTTTCTCTGAGTGCAGTAAAAGCACAAAGTGCTGTGCAGTGAAATAATATGAAATACATTCCTCAGCAAGAAGAGCCCAGTTCTCAGAGATCAAGATTATAACTAAGCCTCACTAAAACCAGGAGCAGATCGTCAGGAGCTACTAGGGCACTAGCTGTGGCCCTGCACCAGCACTGTCCAATACAGCCTGTGCTTCAAGCCCGGTCCAGCAAATCTCACTGGAGATCAGTTGGTCTAGGGTAACCAACATCTGCTAGGAACAATATAGGTATAGTGAATCTGCCTTGAATCAGAGCAAGAGGACAGCTGACTTCCTGAGGTCCTTTCAACCCTGTATTTCTGATTCTATGAGATCTAATTGAAGTGAAAGGTCCAAATTCAGTACTTAAAATGAAACCCCTTAAACTTTTCCCCTCTTTGGAAGACCCTAATGGCCCAAGAGAAGACTGCTGCAGGGCTCATACCCCACTGTGAAACAAGGAAATCCCTGGGCATGAGCCTATTCTAAGGGATTTTAGAAAAAATCATAGCTTAGGACTTCTCACGGAAGAAGAAAGCTTATGCTTGAAAGATGCAGAATGGAAGGTGATATAAGGGGCAATACAAGGGCTCTAGGGAGAAAATACAGAAGTGTGAATGAGACAGAAAGATCAAGAAAGAGTAAATAAGGTGATAGTAAGAGGTAATTCACTGGAGCCCTGTTCAAAAAATCAGGCAAAACACTTTGTTTAGTTTCTGAGACAAATGTAATTGGTCTGGCCAAACAGACCATGGATAGTTATTTCGAAAGTTATTGGGCAGCTATTTCTGTATGTGAAAAAGTATTCTTGAGACATCAGATATATTTCTATAAAACAACGCATTACTTCTCATACTTGTGCCTTATGCAGACAAATGTTCCTTGAGAGCCTCGTCTCACTGAGAGCTGCTGTACAACCAATGAACTGCAATGAACATGCAATGACCGCTTTCTACCCAAAAATACTACCATAAAAATTGGATGCACCTATTATCTTTTCTTAAATTGCCAATAATCTATTGTGGATGGTGCAAATCTTTTGCAGTGCTGAGGGTAGCTACGTCCAGTTAGCTAAGATCATATTTCACCAGAGCATCTAAGAAGATCTACTACTCCTTCCCCCAATTTGTCATCCCCATTATTTTACATATCACTCTGAGTTAATAAATGGTCCATCTTCAGAGCTTGCTGGGCACAGCCACAGAGGACTTGGCACAATGGACATAATGTGGTCTCCTGCTGCATTTGAAATGGGCAGTGATAGAGATTATCCCTCTTCCCCCAGGTCCTTCCATCGTCCCACTGCAGCGAACAAACCCAACACTGGGCAACCCTCTAAGATGTTTATTTGGACCAGTGGCCGGAGCTCTACATCTTACAGACATGATGAGAAAAGGTAAATGGCATCGCTGCTGATTATCTCTTATGGGTTTTAAATTTTTGGGAGTGTGACCTGCAGCTTCCCTTCCCTGGCAGCACTGGGGGAAGGAGGAGGGATGCAGAGGTTATCTTCCCTTGCCTCTCACTCCTCCCAGTTATTGCTCCACTGAGAACAGGATCAGTTGATAAATGTCAGGGCTAACACGCCAAGCCAAAAAAGAGTGGAGGGATGGCGCTAGAGGCATGGCCAAAGTCTTCCTTGCCCCCAGGACATTAGCAGCGCACAGGGTGCAGCTCTGAGGCTGGCACACACTGTACATTGTCGAGCACATTAATCCCCAGCCATGAGTGTGCAACCCCAGCCCCAAGCCTGGCAAAGGCTTTATGCCCACTGTAGGTGTCCCGCTTCCAGCCACAGGCCCACCCTCCAGTCCCCCACAAGTGCCCCTTCAGACAACTCTCGCACACTGTACAGCTTTTATGCGTCTGGATGATACATCCAGCTGCCAGAGATGTTGTCTGTTTACCTGCATGTGTGTGTGTGTGTGAGTGCGTGCATTGCGTTGTACAATAGATGGTTGAGGACAAGCAGCATGGTAGTGAGCTGATTACTGTGAGACTGCCAGCCCACTTAAGTGGTGTTGCTGGATGGAATAGGCTGAAGGAGACAGAAATAATGTGAGTTACGGGATCTCCCAGGGGAGCAAGGAATCACACAGAAGAGAAGAAAAAGGAGGGAGAGGTTTTAAGTCCACAGACAAAGCCAGAACTCAGTTGGGAATGAGAAAAGTTAAATATTACTGATGAAAGAACAATTGTCTGTAATGCCCAAACTCATCCTTCCAAAATCTCTCTCCTTTGTAGTGAGATTTGCTGGACAGCTTGTCTTGTCACAACTGGGCACATTTTCCTTTGTTTTCTTTTCCTTCTCCCTACTCCCCCTTGCCTCCTCTCCTTCAGTTCCCCTTGCAGTCACTATTAAATGTAATCACAGAAAATCAGACTCCAGTGAAACAAAAACAGAGGTCAATGTATCTACAGCGTCAGTTAGCAAAACACACTCTTCGGTCATGCTAATGAGACATTACTGCTGGCATCTGCTGGGGAAAACTCGCTCGTGAGTTCAGGCACTAGAGCTGCCATCAGGATGCTGAGCTTCTTTGGAGAACTGGTGAATTTGCTGAACTCTTCTGCAAAGGCTGCATAGGTTTTCAGCTCTTTTGATAATCTGATCCCACAAAGATATTTTAAAGAACAAAGGCCAGCTTGGTAGCAGGTTTCCATGGTCCTTCAGCTGGAGTTAGTTATTTAACTGCCTGTTGCACTTCTGCGAGTTCCCTTCCTAATTTAATTTTCCCCAGACAAATGTTTTTCTACGTTAATACGCAGTCTTGGACCGGATGGTTGAAGGTTAGATACTTGCAGGATATATCTGCCCACATGTTGAGCTGGCTGGGAGCCATGTGCCCCTGATTATCATGTCCTTAAACTCATACCATGCCTTTTAACAGGGCTTGTCACCTTGGGCTGAGCACTGGACTAAACAGGGCTCGCAGGCTTCTGGTCAGCTTAAACCCTGGGCAGAGCTTGCCCCTGCCTGCCTACAGAAATAGAGAGGTGGGGAGCAGTACCTCAGTACTTACACACCAGCCGTGGTAATTTCAGGTGCCTTTTCAAGCAATTGGGTGGGTTTCTTTCCCAGGCAGTCCTGCAGAACCATGCAGAAGGCTTGTTCGTACTCTGCGAACGATAAATAAAAGGCAGGAGCAAATGAGAGGAATAGAAAATGGAAATAGGAAAGTGCTGGTGGCAGCCTTAGAACTGCAAAGGAGAGGTGCTAACACAGAGCAAGTGTTGCTGACAGGAGGAGCTCATCTGCTAGCAGTTGGCCATGATTTTAACACTCGTAAGGTCACCAACAGAATCACTATATCTAACAGGCAGTATGTTTTAGAGAAATAACTTCCTCTAGATGACCCTTTCCTAGGAACTGTTTGTTGTTTAAGCTTCAGACAGGAAGACCGTCAGCTAGGGCAGTAAACTTTTTTCCTAACACACCCCACAGCTGCAGACTTTTGAAGGGTCACACTGGAACAATACCCAGCTCCAGTGAAATGTCACTTGTGTGGAGGAATCACCTCCTCCTGTGTGGAAGGTGGCTCACGGCCATGTGCTTTTGCAGGACCAAGGCCAAAGCTGTGTATTTCATGGGTTTGTTTTAGATTTGTGCTCTTCCCCAGCTGCCACTTTTTAGGTTTTGGAAACCTAGTCAAGCCACCTTTCTTTCTCAGCTGTCAGTTATGTTTTTCACAACATTGTAGGCTTGGAAAGCTAAAGTACTGGTTCGGTTTGATTCACTTCAGCCCAATTTGGTGAGGATATGGGAAGAAATCAAGTGAACTTGCTTTCCCTCATCCAAGGTCTGTTCTTATCGACAGCAACCGTGCTACAGCCATCAGTGAGATTTGTGTAAGAGCTCTACAAGTTTTCTTGTTGCAATAGCTCTAATAATGAAAATTGATGCAGCTAAATATACCCTGTAAAGAAAAATATACAGAAATAGGCCTCTGAGCAGAAAAGTCCCTGAGCACAGGGAATTCTGAGGTAATATCTAGGATTTTTTGACCTTTGTATTCAAGGATTCTGATATCAGTAGACAATTCAGCATGAGGCAATTTAAGTGACATCTGCATAACAGCTTGATGTCAGAGAACTAAACATGAATTCAAAGTCACTCAGAATAATTCAAGCAGGCACATATTCCCTCCTGACAATCCCTGTGACTGTAGCGTGCCAGAGGAGGCAGCATCTCCCTCAGCTCAACTCCATGGTTCATTTGCAAAGGACAGAATTTGAGGGTGGGTGATTTGTGTTTATTTTCAAAAAAAAAAATAAAGTACTTCCAGATGCCTGGTTACTATAGATTCCAGGGAGGAAATTAGATTGCTTTTGCAGTGTTCCCAGATCCACCCATTTTGGAGTGAAACAATAACTGTGGTAGTGGGTCAGAAGAAGCATTACTTTAGCTCCCCCACTCTATATGACAATGCTTTGTTGTAAATGCTTGGCGTATAGGACAATTACTAATACATACCTATAAATATATCATATCCCTGGCATTGTGAAGCTGTCCCACCCCATGCTGGCAGACCACAGAGTGCATAGGATGCACGTGGCAAGCCTCGTCCTGCACAAAACCTAGTGCTAGGAGGTCACATCCCTCAGGATGGCAAAGAAATAGCTCCAAAGTGCAGCAAGTATCAACAGGTTTTTCTGTTAAGGCCAGTGGGCTCCAAAGAGCACTATAATTTGTCTAATATTCAAGTTGACTAAACATATTCCGGGCTGCTTAGTTTCATCACACAGGTTCTCCCTAAACTTTCATCCAGAGATAACGTAAGGAGTTGATGACTCCATTGCAGAGGGATCCCTGCACTGCTGCTTTGTAGAGAGAGGCAGAGGGGGGAATTGCTGCTCTGTCCCCACAAGGCACAGTCATGGCTGAGATTTCCTCTCCGTGCAGCTGTACGGGTAGAGCAGCTAACCCCAATCCTGCGAGCAATTTGGCAAAAGGAGCCTGGGGGCATAACAGGGGCAAACTTCAATTCGGAAATGATCAGGAGAGCAAAGACCTCTTGTCCTTGGAGGTTTGCTTTCTATTAAACGTCTTTGCGCAAGGAAGAGAGACCTCATGTTCTGACACCTGGAACTTCTTTAAAAACAAGCACTGTCATATTCGGAGAGCGATCATTCGTAATCACAATTACTAGGCGGAGTCACTGAGATGAGTAATGTCCAGGATGCAGTGATCTGTATTTACACATGCCGCAGCAGTCAGCTAATTGTGGCTGTGCAGCCCTGGGATCCAAAATCAGCTGGCTAAGCATAGTGCTCTTCCAGCTCAGTGAGCAGAAAGCGGTCCCTTGGCTGTGCCGAAAGTTCACACACACGTGAAATCCTGCCCCACGGAGCGGCACACACAAGAGCAGGCCACCCCTTCACAAACCCATGCTACAGGTGGCAGGAAAGACAAATGTTCGCCTAAAACGACTTTGCCACTCCAGCCAAGATGATGCTGAGGCTGTTCTGTTAGTTGTCAAATATTCTGCACAAAGTCACACATGTGCTGCATCGTGTGCCCCAAAGCCAGGGCTCCCTGGGGCAGAACATGAAGACCAATAATAGCAGAAGCTCCTGGTATCAGCAGAAACAAGCTGCCACCTCCCACGGAGCGGGCACAAGCGAGGAGGAAGAGGGATGGTTATTCAGCGTGTCTCCTGAGGCTGCTTCAGGACTGGTGTGTCACGCGTTAGCACGTGCCAACGCCACCGCACAGCTTGGCATACATTATCAGATTGACTTGTTGCAGGGATTCAGGAGGAGAAGCCCTTGACAAAGTGCACTAGACTGCTGCTGCCCTGCTGTTTAGGGCTTTTAATAACAAATATCAGGAACAGAGCAACCAAACAACTGCTCCTAGCATGGTCTCGTAGGCAGAGCTTTATTTAGCTTTATTTACCATGGCCAGTGCGCCTGGGAGACCCTCTTGGCAAGCCGTCCGTACATGGTTCTGCTTGCCAATCCCTGCTAGACAAATCTACGACACACCCTTCAGTCCATCTTTTTTTACCTCTCACTGCACGTTTCTTGGCTCAAGGCCATGTAGGAGGTATTTGTAACCATTCTCAATGAGCTATTTGTTTTTAAATTGTCCATTTGTATCACTTTTACTTTCTAGCTGCTCTGGTGACGTTAATGACTGATTGCACTGTGTCTATTTTATGTCAGCGTGCTGACGTAAGTTATGCTATGTGATCGGCTAATGTTGTGGAACTGCATGACAATTTCTGCCTTCCTGCCTGCTTCCATTTGGGACCAATGCAAATCGTAATAACAGCTCTCAGAGTTAAATACAGTTTGATAAATAATAATATAAAACTAACATTAGATCACTATTCTACATCACTTCTTTGAAGGCAATAGAATCCACCAGTTCACAACATATTCTTCTCCCTAACGGCAGGGGAAATTTCAGCAGCCTGAATTACCCTTTCATTTCTAACTAGGAAAACATTGACAAGCCTTAAAGGATGATTTTGAAGAGAAACCATGAACACCTAAAGTGTATCACAGTAGGCTGACTTTAGTAGTAGCTAAGAAATTTTTTGGCTATAAAACCCCACACCATATGTGCTTTTCCTAGCTATGACTCACCATCTAAACCCAAACTCAATTTAGGTTTCAAGGATTTCATTTCTGTCTTGTTTCTACTGTTAATTTATGGTTTTACATCTGCCTTAACCCTGACTATATCTTTGTCCCTGTGGCGAATGTAAGTTATGCAGTTAAGTCTATCACATACTGCTTTTTGCAAGGATGAGTGAAACTTGGTGGTTTCAGCTTAAATGCGTGGTGGGTTTGCTAGAACCCAAAGTGATGTTGATGTTGCTCACCTGCCGTTTTGCAGACAGTAGAAGAGGAACTTCTTCCACGTGTACTACTATGTCCATGTTATGGTGGTGCCAGGGCTCAGAGGTGTGCGGTTCACATGCGTCGGGTGCTGTCTGGATGATTCAAAAGAACCGTAACAGAAAACACAGGAGATTTTGACCAGCCTCAGGTCTGTAAGTACATTTTAAACCCACAAAGTTTGAGTGTGTTTGAAATGTACTCAAATACTTCCTTCTTCACCATTGTGTCCTCATGACCCATTGAATCATCAAAGGCTTGGAGATGAAAGAAAGATTTATGGCTAGAAAATGGAAAGGACTCTCTGCTGAAGGGGAATGGTTTGTTGTTTCTTCTTTTTAAAATCCCAGAACAAATAGCTTTGGTGGATAATTTTCTGTGAGGGTTTTCACGGTAATGTGTAAATGGGCTTCCAGAAATCTGCTTTTAATAAGGTAAACAAGCTCCCAATCAAAACCTCACAGAAACCAATTGCAAAATCCCCATTGTCTTTCATGAACTTGAGTCATGCTCAGGGTAGAAAATTACCCAAATCACTAACCTGTAGGGAATCAAGAAAGAATGTGGTCCTTCCAGATAATTTTTGTCACTACTTTCTTCAGGCTATTTTCTACATTAACTGTTGCCAAGTCTTACCTTGAGTGTAAAAATCTTACACTACAATAAGTCCTTTTGCCATATTCAGCTGAAGAAAAGGCATTTCATATACCTAAAGATATTCTAGTGCCATAAGCTGGAACTGACAGGTCAAATTCATCTATGGTGTAATTCTACTGAGCCAATGAAGCTGCACCAAAGAAGGATTTACTGAGCTGGCACAAGTGTCTAATGTTTACATTTGCAATAAGAGGTTTTTACCTTTTCAGAAATGGCTGTAATTTATTTTGGAGATGAATAAATTTCCACCAGGTCAGAGTGAACCCGTTGAAAAAGGACATCTGAGGACCCTTAAGCCTTTCTCTCCCACGAGATGGGTATGGAGGTGGAACTACCCACCCTTTAGAGGGTTCATTGATTAAATGTGAACTTCACATAAGAATGTATTATTTTCAACCTCAGAAATATTTACCAAAAAATCAGGGATCACGATCTACTGGACAAAAGGAAAACAGTCACAGCGCTAAAAGCCGGAGAAGATCGGGCCATACTCCTCGGGCTGGCCATGATGGTGTGCTCTATCATGATGTACTTTCTCCTGGGAATCACCCTGCTGCGGTCTTACATGCAAAGGTAATTTAATTATGGTGACCCTCATCTCAGACTATCTGCTCCAGTTGACTTCCTCTGGCCTATTCCTTTGACCCTTCTCTTTGAAGTTTTATAATCCTTCCTTTGGTCAATGCGGCCTGATTCTGCAGTTCTTTACCCGAGCATAAATCAGGCATAACCATAACGGAAGCAAATTGAGTAATATTGGCATAAGTGAGGGAAGAATTAGATCCCTTGTTTGAAAAAACGTTTTAGGCTTGCCATAGTTTAAGACAAGTTTAGTTATAGTAGAGGGGTGGTAAAAAGCTTTGGATCCTGTGTGTACTTCCCATCACACAGTCTGGGTTGCATATAATTCCCTGGTTCAGCTGGTGTGCTGAACGCTATAAGCCTCTCGGGCTTTGCTGCTTGGCTGTTGCTTTAAAGCCCAGTCAAATGCAGGAGAAAAGAGCAAAAATATTTAGCAGCCTAGAGAAACAATGCACTCTCCAATGAAAAATGGAGATTCATTTTCGGAAAGAAATCAAGCTGCTTTGTAACATGCAGTTTTCCGTTTGGGTTAATACTTTCATTCTAATGAGTGAAATATAGTAATTTGCTGAAAGTGAAAGATCATCTTTCATCATTATTGCACTGCACTTAATTTTTCTGAGTGAGGCCTTCTCCAGCTTCTCTGCTAAGGAGCAGAAAGTTTAGCTGGTGATTCATTAGCAGTACCTGAAAGCAGTTTTCAAGCACCAGTCCTATTTAAAATCTACCCCAGACTGTAATAAGGTTGTCAACAATATTTTTTTCTGCCCTAATCAGTGAAGTTATGGCAATGAAAAATGTATGATTGTGGAGCAAAACTCTCGTCTGTCATGCCCAAAATCATACTCTGTCAATGGCCAATACCTGGCCTGCTTTGGCTTATCCAACCCAGACTTGTTATTTAGACATATGTGTTAAGCGCTTAAAGTTGAATAGTATGAATATCCTCTATTGTATTATCAGCACAGGAGAATACTCCTTCCTGACCCTGCAATGAACAGGAAAAGCCATGATGCATGAGAATGATTTGTCTTGATTTTCAGTATCTTATTTGGGTGATAAAACTATTTATCCCTTTTTAAAATCCAGGCAATATTTAAATTTTGAAGACAGAGATCAAGCCCAGTTAGATATCTAAGAGTATGTACATTTCCAGATTGCTCTCCCAGAGCAATATCTCCCTGATCTCCCAGGATCAACTGCAGATGCTGCTGAGGTCAAAATTGCTCGTTCGGAAAGATGATTTATACTATGAGCTATGTGACAAATTGCCCAAAGATACGGAAACACCTATAAGGTATCAAATATTCCAGCCTCCTACAACAAGTCTGTTGTAGGTACATGTTAATCTTTTACCTCCATATATGAATAAAACAGCAGTCGGAAAGGTAAAAGTGAAGAAATGAGGAAGAAAGCCCAGGAGTCTCTGTTGTCACTTCTTTTGGCAGAGCCAGGACGTGCACAGCCAGGTCTCCCTAAGGGTCATTCTCCCTTACAGACAGTGACACCCACCATCAAAATACCGCCTAGGAGGAAAAAAAAAATCCTTTCACTTGATTTCCCCTCAGAAATCATACCATAATTTAATAAAAATGTAAAATGCAATAAACAAGCTTAATTACTGCCAAAATGAAATGCCAAGAGAATTAGTCAGAGATCTTTGATGTCGCTTACCATTTAAAGCTTTTTGTAGGCTTTAGTGCCTGGCAGGCAGACCCTCAGCCCATCCCTTTCCTCCAGTTCCCAGTGAGGCTCATCAGGACTAGCAAAAGCGGTGGGATGATTGCGTTGGGCTGCAAACTCAGTAGCTTAGCAGCCTGCACCTCATATCAGTGCACGGCTGGGCATGGCACGGGGCACCTTGTCCTCAGCTCGGGAAGGAGCCCCGGCCTGGCCCATGTCTGCCGAGACCCAGGGCAGGAAGGGTGCAGGGCTTCAGGCTCCCCGCGCCTCCAGGAAGGGCCAAAAGGGGAGCTGGAGGGGTGAAACCTCTCCCCAAGCCTATAAAGGGCACAGAGGCATTGATGTGCCCTTCCCACTGCTCCTGCCCCAGAAGAAAATGTAGTTGTAAATTTTGAAAAACAGAAAAGAAATCCAAGTGAACGTTGTTCGTACATTTTTGGGCTCCGTCATTACAGTTTTGGCCTCTGGTGAATGTGAGATAAGCTAAGATTCTCCAGAATGATTGCACCAGCTGATTTAGCTTATTGTACACCTACAGAGTTGTCACTAGAAAAAGCCTTTCCACCAGCAGAGCTGCATGCAAGCTTCACTTGTATATAGGTGTGTGGATACATATACACATATGTGTACACTGGTAATGCGAAGTTGTCCTCAAAGCCTCCTTTTTAAGATGAACTGGACTCTGTAGCTAGCCATCGAGTCTTGGCTCAAGATGCCTCATCACGGTGTGCCGTGTGCTTTGTGCTCTCCCTTGGGCACGCTGCTCAGTTTTCGTCTTGGATTTTTCTGTTGATTTCCTTTAATCTCAAATATACCTCCTCCAGACTAAAAGTTCTAGTCCTCTTTTCATGTATAGGTGGACATATGTGAATCATGCATTTTTTATGCCGAAGACACAAACTTTACGTACTATAGAATAATACACCCAGTCTGTGACATGTGACTTGTACTGAGAAAGTCCAGCCGCTGCTCCAAAGCGCGGCAGAATATATTCTCCCCTGCAAGATGCCCATGGGTATATCCCTGACCGAAACTCTGGGCTGCATTTAGTGCTTATTGCCTATTCTTGCCATGCTCTAACATTTCTTTTTTTCTGCTTAGTGTTTGGACAGAAGAGGCTCAGTGCACGCTTCTCAATGCATCCATCACAGAAACCTTCAACTGCTCGTTTAGCTGTGGTCCAGACTGCTGGAAAATCTCTCAGTACCCCTGCCTACAGGTGTACGTTAATCTCACCTCTTCTGGCCAAAAGCTTCTACTCTACCACACTGAAGAAACAATGAAAATTAATTCTGAGGTAGGAGCACGGCACAAAATTTCTTCTCCCGTGGGTTTCTGGAGGGCTGCTCGCCCCGCTATAGCCATTCCTCCTGTTGAACCAATATAAGGCTTCCAGCTCTGATTTCCCTGGTAATTGTGGAGCAGAAATCAGTGTGTGAACTGAGTTCCCCATGTACCTGCTGTGGGTTGGGCTGTCCCTCGTGCTCACAGGGTGTCCCATAAGGCGGGGACCACTGCTGTCCACAGCCCTCAAATTTCCGTCTAGACTCAGGCTCCATCTTTGCACTCACATGGGGAGATCTCTGCCTAGAAACCGCTTATGAGAATAGAAGTAAACCCCCGAGCCTGCACTGGGGTAGGACTACGCAGAGCCATTCACGGGGGAGCAGAAGCTATGACGGCTTCCCAGCTCCGTCCCACCCTGGGAGCACAGCTCGTCGCATGCTGTGTCTTCCCAGACCGGGGCTGGCGCCTGCCTCCTAGTCCACAGGGGCTGTGGTTGCCTGTTCTCCAACTCCTCGTCCTTTGCCAGCGTAGGCAGCGTTTTACAGACGGAGACGAGTGCTGAGCCCCCGTCACGTGTATATTCTAGGGGAGCTGTGGACAAGTCACTTGCCATTAAGGTACAGTTCTGCATTAAATCTAAACACCTCTAGCAATGTACATGGAGTATCCGTGGTGGTGAGAATAGAAATGGCCTTACTAACGTGGGGCTAAGCACGGGGACAGAAATCCCATGGCTAGCAGCATACATGTCTCCATCTGGATCTCTGGTGACAAACTTGCTGCCCAGACTAGCTCCAGTGCGGTCAGCTGTACCACTAGGATCAGGACCCATAATTTATCCCTATGGGTGGCACAAAGATGTTGAGAGTCTGCCAGAGAGAGATAGTCAAAATAAAAAGAGTAGCATAAAAATAAAAGGCCTAGTTTCTGAGCTTATATAAATTAAGGAGTCAGCCAGTCTTCCTTGCACAATTTCCCTGGTACCAGACACAGAAATAAGAGATTTTAACAGATTTTAACAAATCTGCATTAAAAAAAATTCCTCTCTCTGCTTCAGCAAGTGTAAAATTCGACATAACTTGATCCAGGTGGGACTGAGGCAGCTCATGTCTGGAGGCTGTAATGAACGTAGCGATGCACAGAAGGCGTCCCTTCCCCTGGCCTACAGTCACAGCTGTGCCGGTGACGCAGCGCTGCGTGCATCACAACCAAGGCAAGCAACCGGCTGTTCGCAGGTGGCTGTACACTTCCTTTGTGCAGTAGGATGCTGTGGACCGGACTGCTAAGTGTCCCTTTCCCCACCTCCTCTTCTTTGTATTTGTGGTGGTTGGGTACAAAAGCCTGCAAGCTGCAGTGACCCAAGAAGCAGCTAAATCAGTTAGATTTCCAAGCGCCAGATCTGCATTAACTGCTTAGTTCTCCAAGGTCACTGAACCCCAAACTGCAGGCACCTGGCAAATTGCAGCCCATCTCAGCACAGCCCTGGTTCAGCCTGCTGACAACGTAACCTATTGTGTTTCTATTTATGGGAGCCGTTCAGCAGACCAAATTGCTTCTGCATATTAAGATGAAGTGATATTAAAATTAGTCAGAGCACTGAGTGGTTTCACCGGGCCAGTTATTCTGCTGGATAATTAACTCCTGTGGCTGATGTGCAAAGTCCTCTGGAGCCAAACTGTGAAACAAAGAGCAGTGTCCTCACCACCCCTCCCAGGTCGGTGGTGATGCAGAAAGGAAGCACCCAGCCATCGCTGTAGTCCACCGGCAGGACAGACTTAACTCTCAACTAGTACAGAAGCAAAATCCAGTGACACACCCACCACCGTTTTATTAAAACAGATCAGGTCAGTCTCCATCCTCCAGTGGATTCAAATACATCCAAAGATTCAGCATAAATCTCCAAATTCTGTTACTGATGATTTTTGTTTGCTGAAATCAACTTTGAAATTCTCCCAGGCACAGCCTCCTCTTAATTTAATGTAGGCACAGTTAATCCTTCTCCAGCCCAAGGTTGTTTTACAGGTTAAGCGCTGCTCTCAGGAGGATTCCTAGGTTTTCCTGATGTGCTGCTGGCTGTGTGATCTGAATCCAAACACCGTTTCAAACGGAGCTTGGCCCTTGATTGCAATGTCTACAAAATACCTGGCTTCTCATGCCTGGCTGGAATTAACAGAGACTCCAAATTTCAGCGCACTCAGAGCAGCACAACAAACCTCAGCTCTCTGGTCAGGAAGCCGCATCCTCATCACGGCCCCGCAGCAATATTTTGTGTGCAGTGTCCAGGATGGGCACCAGCACAGGCAGCGAGGCAGCAGTGCAGTTACCGCTGAGGTCAGGGACCGTCTCAATTAACCAGGTATCAGTATTTGCTCTGCTTCCTTCCTTCATTTGTTATCAGTTGCCGCTGAGAAACTAAAATATTGCTCCCAGACAGCAGTGAAGGCCCCAAGCAAGAGTCAGCTCCGGCTGGTTGGTTAACAGCAGCTGGGGCTGTTACAGGTCTGAGATGCAAAATAAGGCTGGCCCTGGGTCGCAGGGCATAGAAAACGTGCCAGCTCCCTCAGAGCGGTTATATGAGCCTCAGGCTGCTCCCAAACAGTTTAGGGACTGCTTGCACTCAAAACCTTCCCCAAGCATCTTCGTTACAGAAGGACTTTGGAGCAGTGACTTTCCTAAGGTAGTTCAGGAAATCAAGGTGACATCTGCAGCCCCCTCGTCCTGCCCTCGCGCAGACCCGCTCCCTTCACGAAGCCTCGCAGGCCTCTGCAGGAGAGGTGGAACGGCAGCGAGACCCCATTTCAGGTCCTGGGTGTTCAGGACTTAATGCATGGTTTTAATGCGACCGCAGTGCCTTGGACTGGGGAAAAATAACAAGGTATTTTCCAGATAGAGTGGTAGAGATAGAGCATCCCAGGCATCGCATGTCAGCTCACCCCCCGCACAATGTTCACCATCTTTCTGGTTGGTCTCTATGTGCACCCTGGCGCTCCTTCCCTGCATGATTTCCCCCCATGCTCAGTACTTCCCTCCTTCTACCTACTCCTATATTGGAGGTCTGCATTTCTTACCTTTCTCCCTGGAAAAAAAAAAAGAAAAAAGAAAGTAAAAACCACCATACCCTCTGTCACTGAGCCCTAACATTACTGGCAACGTTGCAGAGAGCGCAGTGCTTACCCTTTGAGGCCAACACGAGTGACCTTCAAAAGGTCAGCACAACCCTGCCAACCTTTCTGTCTCACGGATCGCCACCGCGCATGTAGAGCAGCATCTGCAGCCCATCTCTCTCCCCTTCTTCTCAACAGCTCATATTGAGGAAAATGCACTTTGATTTTAAATAATGATTAATCTAGAAAGCTGCTATCTAAAGTAGCTGTCTTCCCAAAAGGTGGGGAAAGGAGCAGGTGCGGTTTGCATTGAGATATACAGTGTACTGCTGTCAGCCTCCAGTTAGAATCAATGGGAAGTAAATGGATGCCAGTCAAGCTGCTTGAATCTTTCCCAGAAAAGCACACAAGACTTTTCATGCCTTTTCATTGCTTTAGCTGTGCATATTTTATCTCTAGCCTTTAAGACAAATGCAGCCCCTTGTCAATACTACAACCATAGCAGCCTAAATGCTTTCCCTGCTGCACTTTCTCTTTTCAACTGTCAGATGCTGTAACAGCCTCTGGGGAAAGCAGATCGGACCGGCGTCTCTTTGCTGGCAGACCGCTGAACCAGTTTGTCATGCTGAGGGAGGGTTGCAGTATTTAAAGTAGTTTTGAAGTCCTCATTCCAATCTCATACTATATCACTTTGAATCCTTTCATGTCATTGGGGTTACTGCTGATTTATACCCATGCTCCATAAATGAGATAACAAGCAGACTTTAATCATCAAAATCACTGTTATGCCAGCTATAAATGCCTGATATTCAGAAATGATGGTGGCATCTCATGGTTTCCCACTGAAAGTTCAGGTATTTATAACCCAGAGAGGAGTTTGTCTAGCGCAGGTGGAGCAGCAATGTTCGGCTGCAATTCCCAGCAGACCCATTTTTGGATTGGGTTTGGATGATTCAGTCTATAGAAATAAATATTGGACTAATGGCAGACACAAAACTCCCCCTTCAGCCTTTAATCCAACCTATTTCACTTTTCAGAAGAGATGCAAACTGAGGTCCTGGCCACTTTCTCATCAAGATTGCCACAGCACGTCTTATAAAAGTATAAATGAGGTGTTTCTAACCCCAGCTTCCAAGCTCAGTATGACAGTGACAAACGCCCCCAACCACAGAAAGAGAACAAGAACTATGCATTTCACGCTTCAACCTGAATTAGGAGCCTCTCTGGCAATACCGTTGCCATTCTAACTTCATTGATTTAATGAAGCTGCTTCCAGGTTGCCCGCAGATGTTGTGAGATCTCCATCCTTGGAGATATTCATAACTTGACTGGACAAGTCACTGAGCTACCTGATTGACTGGCCCTACATTAAGCAGGGCTTTGAACCAGGTAGCCTGTACAAACTATCCAATCCTTTAAATTAGGGAAGTCGAGCTGGAATATCTTACGACAAGTTCTTTTTGTCACTATCCAGTACGTCCTTCTTCTAATCAACTGCAAAAAACACAAGAGCCACTTTTCTCATGTCATATCACAGAATCCTTAATGGATGTAGAGATCCAGATACTGTTTGCTTTCAGATTTCTATGAGTTTGACAATACAGAAGAATAACAAAACAGCATAGATTTAGTAGTCTAGATTCACCGTATATAGCATAAGAACTATATATAGAGAATACCCTGCCATATATTGAAGTAAACTAAATGAAGATCAAACCAAAGAAAACACTCAGAACATCTCGTTATTGATGTCTACCTTCTTCCCTGCCAACGCCCTATCCAGCACAACAGATGCCAGCAAAAGCAAAGCCAGCACAGTCTAATCACCCAGCTCTCGCTGGAAAAGCCATGTCCTGGAAGGAGGCCACCAGCACCCCGTGACCACAGCTTAACACACACAGACGCTTTAGGAATGTGTCCTTGCACGGAGAACTAGGAACCCCTCAGAGCTGAGCAGAGGGGCTGTGAAGAGCCACGAGCTCAGAAGAGTAGGATGAGGCAATCAGGATATGGAGTAAAGGGGACCAATGTCTTATAGACTGTGTAAAAGCCCATAGCATGGGGAGAAATGTTCTCAGCACCAGGAGCCGGGCTCACTGAAAAAGTATATCAACCTCCCTTGCACAGTTACCTTTAATAGCTTAGTTTTTTTAAAAGCTTGCTTGCCACTCATAGCCTGGCTAGCTTGATATTGCTGGTGTCTCCAGTACTGTTAGGTATAACAGACTACAATTCAAGTTCTGCTTGGGCCTTGAGTCTCCTGAGAATATGCTCGGAAAATACTCAGACTTGCAGGAAGTCAGACCTTCCCACTGCACTCTTGGGATGTTTCTGTAGACTTTCAGTCCAGGAATCTGTCATCATTTGGGCTTTTACATGCCTGCAGTTTTCTGTCTTTGAGGGGAGGGTTGAACTTCAGCAAAAAGTAGCCAAGTCCTCATTTAATCTCCTCACTCAGGCGTGTAACAGTTGGGACTTCAAAGAACGAAAATGTATAGCACTAAACTTGCAAAAAAAAAGTCGTCTGAGCTGGAAATACTGCGGTTAGGATAGTGACAGTGTATAATTTCGTAAAAGAAATTGAGGTTCAGCTTTACTGAAAAATTCCCTCTACTTATTAGAATGTGATTTATTAAAGAGCAGTAGGGAGTGGAAGAGGGTTTGTGGCTTTGGACATTTAAGACAAAACTGCGCAGAGTGCAAGAGAATAGCCTGGAGGGAGCAGTCCTGCAGCAGCAAGGGGACAGATGAGATATGACCTCTCTGAGATTTTCCATTTCTAATTTCTAGAGCTCTATGAAATATTCATAATGGAAGTGCTAACATGCTCTACCCTTAATGCTCCGCTCTGCTAATGCCAGACAGTATCTCTGCTGTGCTTCAAATCATATTCCAAGCTAATAAACTTGCCAATGGATCAATCAAATCCTGTTATGAAGTTAATCCTTTGATCATTATTAGGACTAGAGATTCGTCGCAGTACATTATGAAAAGTCACAGCATGGTCGTGAAAAAGAACTGAGAGACATTTATAAAGTTCATACATTGAAATAACAATAATCAAAAGCCATGGGTCACATTATTTTAATCAAAATGTCTTTTTTCCTTTGTAAAACTTCCTTCCTCTCATTAAATTACCTAAAGCTATTTTAGCTGCTTGCCCAGTAGAAGTGTGTTCAGCCATGCAGCAACGCAGCCAGGGCAGCATAGCAGGGGACCTTTGATCAGCCTATCACTGTAAGGGAGTGGTGATCTACTTGGTCCCTCTGTGCATGCTCAAGGAGAAGTCGCACAACAGATTTCCCCCCGTCCTTAAGCTGTTCTTGCCTAGGTAGAGAATTTAATCAAAATCCTGTTCAAGTGTGAATACTTTCAGGTATGGAGGGGGGTAACTGTCTAAAAGAGAGGAGGGAGCAAGGGGCCCTGGGCTGTCCCTATCAATCCTCTTTCCAAAGTAGCAGCAGCAGCAGCAGCAGCAGCAGCAGCATATTCAGGTGTTGGCTTGCTATGTTAAGGTCTGGACGGGGCTTCAGCCATTGCGTGGCCGTCCAGCAGGGCACCTGGCAGGACTGGCACTTTGAACGGGATAGTCAGACTAGCCCAGGGACTCCTGTCTGTGGGACCCATGGAATATCTTCAATTGATGGACTCCATAAACTAGCGTTTTTAATTAACTTGTTTTTAGTATTCCCTGGGGATGTTTGAAACCCATGAGACATGCCCACTGTGTAGCAAGACTCCTAGCTTTGTCCAGTGCTCTCTCTTTGAAGCACAGGCTGTGCCAGGTTTCAGACAGGTGGTTTCTAAAAGTAAATTAAGTATTGCAACAGCTTCTGTGTTCAAGGTTGGCTCTTCTGGGTTTTTCTGAAGCAACAGGTAGCAAGACACCACTGCGGGCACTCCCATTATACTCTTACACATTGGTTAGGAACTGCACCAGATAGAGCCATTCCCAACTTTTCTGCTCTCTGTGACCAAGACTGAAATTCAAGCAACATCTTCAGAGAGAGTGAATCATTTCATTGCTCAGTGGTCAAAAAGAGGACTGGGAGCCATCCAGGTAGCCAGGCTGATCTTTAGCTAGAGGCTGAATAAAAGCTTTTGGGGTGTCAGTTGGGAAAATCTATGTTTTGTCTCAGACTTCCTACGTGACCCTAACTGAGGCATTCCTCTCAAAGGAAACGGAGTATAAAGGTCTCTGGTTGGCTTTCCTCTCTGCAGGTGAACTCTTCTGCCCACTATGATCATTTTGATCATCTGCAAGTGAGATCTGAGCTACTAGATTTGTATTTACAGACAGGCAATTACACATCTAAATGTGAGACTATGCATGCCACTTCAGATGAAGAGGTACTTCATCAGTTCCACTTTTGCATGTGTAAATTAGCAGTAATAATATATTCACCTATCTCACGAGGCTGCTGTGCAAATTAAAATATTAATGTTTGTACAGTCCTTGGAGACTCTCCAATGGGAAATTCTGTAGATGTGCAAAATATTGAGCTTTGTCTGTGATAAATTTATTATTAGCTTAATAGTATTGCACTCTTGTTACGAAAGCCGTAATCATCTTGAGATTTTCCTGCTCACCACCTGAGAACAGACATTGTATCTGGTTTAGAGATGTGTTTTTTCCCTCTGATTTCTTCCCAGTGCTCATACATACCCAAGTGCGGCAAGAATTACGAAGAATCCATGTCACTTGTGAATGTTGTAATGGAAAACTTCAGGAAGTACCAACGCTTCTCCTGCTTTTACGACCCTGAAGGTGTTCAGAAGAACGTGATATTAACCAAACTGTACAGCTCCAACGTGCTGTTCCACTCCCTCTTCTGGCCCACCTGCATGATGATCGGTGGAGTCGCCATTGTCGCTATGGTAAAGCTGACTCAATACCTTTCCCTCCTCTGTGAGAGAATCCAAAGGATCAACAGATAAAAACAAAAACTTCTCTGAGATGTATTTACAGCTAAAATACTGTTTTCTCATTCTTCACCAAAGAACCTTAAGTTTGTAATGTGCAAGTCTGTTATAACTTCCTTACTATATTCTTATAAGTAGAGCAATAATGCAAAAGCTGTTCTATATGCAAACCTGATGTTATTATTATGCAGAGAACAGAAAAAACTACTGTTTTGTGTTGATCGTCTATATGATCTTGTTTTATGCTGAGACTAGTACTTCTTTCTTTTCTACAGCCAAAATAGGCTCAATGTGACCATTTGCCAAGCTTAGTCAATGAATACATTGACATTTTCAATGTAAAGGATTCTGGGGAAAATTCACGCCTGGACAAAGGGCAGCAAATGACTTGTGCATCGCTTAGGTCTTACATCTGACTCAGGTCAGGCAATAGATCTGTGGTTTTATTATTATTATTGGCTGCAGGGAATAAAAGCATAGAATTGACAGTTGTCTGATCGGAGGGCACAGAATAGACATATTGTGAGGCCAGCATAAGCAGCAACAGTATTTTCAGCCTAAGCAGGACTTGGTGATGCTTTGTGTTAGCTTCCCCAGTTCAGAAGTAAATTTTACCCTATGGTGTTTAAGGTATGTTGCAAAACACTTTTATTTCACTTAGTGCTACATTTTTCTTATGTCTTATCAACATCATCTTTGTCACCTACAGAAGTTGTAGCCAAAAAACAAAAATCACCCTGTTCCATTTTCTACTCCAATCTGAGCCCTATTGGTGGAGATGGGACCAGAACTCCTTATGTAAAGGTTTATTACTCATTTGTCTTGTATTTGCTACCATATCACTGTAAAGAAAAAAAAAACACAGTCAGCTATTTTTTCATTTTTTACTTCCAACTATTTTAGATTTTTTTACTTGATATATATACAAATATATATATAAAGATAAAGCTATATTATATCTAGTTGGGTACTGGAACTTGATTATGGGGTTTTTTTCCTTTGTTTTTACCAACTGCAAAGTGAGCAGTATAACTCATGTATTAATAACCTTCAGCCTTGGATTATATCGTAACATGGAGGAGCAGCACTGCAGGATCTTATCCAATATTCATGATGTTGTTTCAGTCAAAAGTCTCTATTGCCGTGACATCTGAATGGACAAAAATCTCATCCAGTTCTATAGGTCTATTAGCTGAACTGTTAGATAATAATCATAATACTTCTGGAAATCTCTCCTGACCTTAACACCGTATGCAGTGCTGGCTGAAGTGAATTTTTGACTTAAAAGTCCCAGGTGCAATGAGTTATTGGAAAAATTGAGGTTCAGATTAATATGCTGTCCTATTTGTCAGATATTTACAGTGGGGATTTTTCCAGCATAGTTCCATGAATATAGTCTTGATTTGACTATAGAATGAGTGTAGTCGTGATTTTTGCATAATTTATTTTTATTCCCTTCTTCAAATCCCTTCTTTCCTCTTCTGTTGTATTTTAAAGGCACCTCTCATAGTTTCTTACTCTGCACATAGCCGGAAGGACCAATGCAAGCCAATCTCTATGAGCACCCTGTGAACTCATAACCCAATAGTTCAAAGAAATTTACAGGCTTATTCGAAACAAGAAATAAACTTTTTCCCCTCAAAAAGCCTGCAAAAGAAGAAAGCAAGTATTCTGCCTACTTCATCTATATATAAGTATCTTTCTGCAATATTGCATTAAAAATTTCAAGATGTTACAAAACTTTACAAGTGTAATGTGAGCTGTAAAAAAGAGTTCTCAGCAGTGAAAATGAATCTGCAGTCTTGTAATCAGTAGTATAATTTTCCTTAGGTAAATAAATTCCTGGAGGGTGGGGTTATAATTAGGGCTCAAAAAATATGTAATGAATATATTCAATTAAATCTTCCACATTTCAATATCTTCTGCCTTCAGATCTGCCTTGTTTCCTCAGACTTTTCTTTGCAGCTTGTTTTGCCAAGAAGTCAGAGGTGCTGATGCAACAGGGAATTCATAGATGTTATTTGTAACATGCTCATTTATCAATCTGTGGGATTTGCAGAAACCATCACCAGCGAATCTCCCACCGTCAGCCAGTGAACAGAAAACGATTCTCCCTCAGCGACGGCTGCACGGCTGGGGGGGGTGGGGAGGGGGGCGGGGGGGAGCCGCGCTCTCTGCCCCAAACCGCCCCGGCGTGCTGTGGCATCGAGCAGAAGTCCCGGAGCTCCTGTGCCGCAACAGGTAGAGCAACGTTAGCAGCACTGCCGTGCAGGTGCGCAGGGGATTAATTGCCTAGCGTTCATGCAGTACTCTGACATGAAGGTCTCCATGTTTCAAACACTAGTAGTTATTACAAAAGCATATTCTGAGAGGTTTCGTCCAGGCTGGAGGTATCTAGGTTAGTCCCCCAGAGTCACACAGCCAAGACATCTTGACCCATTTCTAGGCTGGTATAGCCCGGGAGGCTCCCACGGTGCACTTTCGTCCTTTACAAAGTTGCTATTTTTCCTCCAAGCAGAGGAGCTTGGATTTTCCTTCAGAGCTGCTGTCCTAAACGGTTCCTCACCCGTCTAGCACCTCAGCGCCTTCAGTACCGTCACAGACGCCAAAGCAAGGATCACACTGTAGATTTTGTTTCACAAATCAAAAACCACGCAAGACATTGCTAGCAAGGAACTGGGATAATAGAGCAGCTTTTCCACAAAGCTACTGACACTAATGTTGGCCATTTACATGATGATTTATATGGTCTGTGATAAAGTAGCTTTTTGGTTGTGCGTGTGACATTTGAGGTGCCTGTATTTGTGCATTTTGTTTCTAGTGACAGGAAAGCTGATTGTTCTTGACATTTACACATCAAACGCTGTTTTCAACATGTTGCACCATAAACATTTTACCCACGTTCCTGTGGGTGAAACATCTTGACGCTGTTGCAGTCTATAATCATTTTGTTGACATTAACAGAGAGATCTGTGGGATAGCAAAATAACTTGAGTAATTGGATGGAGCGAGGTAAAACAATAATTTTAAAGGGAATTATCCATCTGATCACTAGCACAGTTAACCCCCTACCGAAGTGTTTGCATTTCAAATATGATTTTGACAGCTCCTGCTGCCCCAGAGAGAAGACACATTTCAGATGGGATGTTAGTCTGTGCGGTTTCTTTCTCTACCTCCATTTTAAAACCGCTTTTATCCTCTGCAAAAGGAGGCCTATTCCTGCCTCCTGTAGGCAGCTCAAACAAATGAGAAATATCCCCCCCTCCATCTGCATAGCTTCATTAGTAAAATTCAGTGATCAGATAGATCTACTGTAATTCAGAGATTCTGAGCCTGACTCTTCCCAGCATAAATGTTTCCTCTCTTAATGTCCTGGCTGGCACCTGGGATGGAAGGGAACAACTAACAGCCAGAAAGTGCCGTGAAACCTCTGAACAGAAGAGCACGAAATGAAAATGTAGGTGCGATATACTGTGGTATTATGAGCCTACTGACAGGTACCCTTGCAGGATTTAAAGCATACATAAGTATTCCAGGTGTCAAATTCACGTGGCCTTTTAATAGTTGCTATTTTCTGAATTAGATTATTTATGTCAGGTCTTATTTCTATTCCGGAACATCTAAATCTGAAACTAAAGCGTGAACGTCCCTGCTGTAATTCTCTGAAACTTGGCACCTTGCAGCGGACCTGCTAAATGTCATCAGCTAGGACAACAGAGAGCCTATTTTGGTTTAGCTTTTCTAAACAGGAGACATCAGTTTTATCTCACAAAACGCACCCAAGTGCAAGCAGTGGGAGTTTGAGGTGAATACAGAAAAGAGGAACCAGGGCCTAGGAAATAAGAAAGCCTGCATATCTTGATAAGACACAAAAAACAAAGAGACTTCAAAGTTGAGGGACAGCAAGGGAACGAACTCCCCGTGCAAGCCTGGGGGGGCTACTGGCTCTGCATCGTGTGTCCCCGCCGCAGGGGCCCAGGGCTGCACCGGCCCTGCCGGGCGCTCTGCTTTCAGAACAGACAGGTTCAACGGAAGAAGATGGTGAGAAAAGCAATGGTTTGTACAAGCCTGGTCTAAGCAAAGTCCTGCACCGGTCTGACTATAACAGCTGTGACCTTATATCAGTGCGACTCTACTACCACCTCTAAAGGGAATGGCAATTTCAGTATAATAGCACCTTAAAACTGAATAGCTAATTTCCCTTCTCATATAGCGATACACATATTAATATGGCTGCAGCCGTTTGAAAGTATTGAGCCACTATCTTTGTGGCGATACAGCTCTTCACATAGTCTGCGGATGTGAGCATGATAGCATCAGCTCTCCATTAGCTGCTGTGCTCCTCATCTATCAGACTTGGTACAAAACTCACTTTTCTGCTCCACTGAACACCCCAGAGCAGGTCACTTTCTGGTACTCAGCTTTTCAGGAAAAACTACATGCAATTTGTGGTGTACCCAAACATTTCACAAATGTATACAAATGTCATCAGACTGTTTTTGGTGGTGGAGGAGAAAGGGAAAGCAGGGGAAAATATCAGTCGTCAATATTTTGAAAGCAAGATATTTCCATTGTTCAGTTTGAACTGATGTTGCCTTTTAAAATTCAAGTTTTAGCTTCCTTTTTTTTTAAAGAAAGCTTGAAATGAAATCATTTTTTAAAGAAAGCTTGAATGAAAAATTAACATACCAGTTCCCCAATGTGAAACAAAACCATTGGCAATTGCTTGGTTCACTGAACATTTTGAACTTCTTCTTTTTTTGAGGCTGACCTGTAACAGATTTCTTCTCTTCCATTTTTCTGAACTGTTAGCGACCTGCAAAATCAGTTAGTCACACAGATCTAATCACTAGCAGCTCTGGCAGGACGCCAGTGAGGTTCGAATGACAGCTGTTTCAAAGAACATTACTGATCATTATTATGAGTAAACTAAAGCTTCTGCCTTGAAGAACGTAAAAATGACTAAACTGGAAGACAATGGGAAGGAGAAAAGGCGCATTTATCAGTTATTATTAGCTACGTGTGGTGTAGCAATATGTTGGATCCGCAGTTCAGGGGCCAGATACAGTGTGCTCGGGTCGCCGTCGTCCCCGGTGTCCCCACCGCTTGCGGTGCCGGCGCGCCACGGGTGTGCACAGATTTCCTTTCCTGGGTATGGACGTACCCACTGAAGATGTTACTGCTCTCAGGGAGCAGTTCATGCGTACATACTCAAGCACATGTTCGACAAAATCAGCTTAATATTTTTAAACAAAATAGAACGGTCAGGCCACTCCGTTCAATTGTTTAAGCTGCTGCAAATTAGGGAGGACTCTGCTGGCCAAATCTTCAGCTCATACACCTGTGTAGGAGGACTCTGCCTGCTGTTTTCGCTCCGTTCCCAATTGGATAAATAAGTCAAAGAGTAAATACTGCATCTGTCAAACAGGCTGTATGGCAAACGCACCCCCTGTCCTGTGCTCCTGTGTCCCCAGCCCCGAGCTCCAGAGCGCCCTGTTTATTACCAAGGTTATCAGTGACACAAACCTGTAGCAAAAGGCTAGTCCGTGCCCCCAGCGGGGCTGGTGCTTGCAGCAGAGGTTCGGCTCCAGCTGACAGTTCCTCTTTAGTAACGCTGATAAGGAATTTCTCAAAGTACTGGGTTTCGTTGCTGGGGATTTTTTATCAGAAAAAGCTGACACTTTCAACTGCAACGTTTCACGCCACTCTCAAAACAACCTCCTTCAAGAAAGGTATTTTTGGTCCAGGTTATCTTGCAGAAACCGGGAGATCGCACACCATGGGAGAGGTGAGGTTAGCGGTGCAGGAGAGACAGCCTCAAGCTGCTGTGCTTGAGGCAGGCAGGGCACGGGTCCGACCCTCAGGTCCACGCGTCCAGCAGAGCCCTTCGCCCATCACAGAGCTGGCTGTCCTGAGCTATGTCCTCTCACACTTCTGTGGTTTTGGGAAAGAAGTTAGAAAATTTGGAAAACTAAGGAAAAAAACCAAAAAACACACGTTTTGAGGCAGAAAAGAAAAAGCAGTTGAATCTTGATACCTCAGAAAGAACTAGGGGCTACTATAACTTTTAATTACCTAATGCTGTTCTTCAGTTTGTGCTTGGAAACGTGTTTATAAGTTTTCAGAAAAACCTGAGGCCTCAGTTCTGAACCAAGCTAGCAGCCTTTCTTTGTCATTACTGGTTTGATCATCATGATAACAAGCCATTAGTGAATCCACTAAATCTCTAGTACACAGCAAAAGGCTCTTGCATGTGCACATCCCAGGGCATGAATTGCCTAAAAGCAATTGCTATAAAACAGGAGTGGCAGATGCCTCACTTGCTACCCAGCAAATCTGCCTCCAGCCATTTGTTAGCCCCTCTCCAAACAGTTTTTCAGCAGAGACCTGCAATTGCTGAATTTCAAACAAACCTCATTTCACAGAGGATTTTCTCCCCTTCAGAAATGATCTCAAAAGAGCTGAACTGAACAATATTTTGGGGCGGGGGGGAGGGCGAGAACTTAGAGTTTTTAATCAGCTAGTGATTTTATTGTAATATAGAGGGTAAGAAGTATACTTTCTAAAATGCTCTCCAAACTGCATACTCCATCCATACTAAAGGGTCATCATTTTCAGGCAAGATAGCAAAATGACTCTCAAAACCTGTATAAACATGGGGAATTCCAGCAAAACCCAGCAAGAGCCTTATTGTCCAATGCACAGTAAAAGGACTGCTTACTTCAGAAGTTCAAGAAAAATGAGTGAAAAGTAAAAGCATCCCCCAGAGGTGTGAAATACTTATAAAAAGGCCAAATTTATGGTGGCGGATAAGACAAGTTCACACGACTATTGCACACTAGGGATCAGCCACTACTACAGGTGGTAAAGAATTTTTGATGACTTTTTTTCTTTCA